CTACTACCGACCGTGGCAAGCCTTTTGGACAGGCGGTTGGCAATACCTTGACCATCTATTAATAACAGATAACACAGACAAAGAATATGTTAAAGGTAATCCAATCTAAACTAAAAACATTCAAAAATGACAAAAGCTGCTATACATTTACTCTATTACCATCCAACAATAGACCATAAGCATCAGAAACAAGTTCAGAAACAGCAACAATTTATTTTATTGTATTATTGTGTTAGCCCACCCAGAAATATCATAGAACTCACATGAGTTGACTTGTTCCTATTGTTGAATATATACAGTGCATTTGGAAAGTATTCAGACCCATTGACTTTTTACACATTTTGTTACGTTACATCCTTATTCTAAAATTGATTGAATTGGTTTTTTCCCTCATCAATTTACACACAAAATCCCATAATAACAAAGTAAAAACAGGTTTTTAGATTTTTTTTTTTCAAATGTATTTAAAAACAAAAACTTAAATATCACATTTACATAAGTATTCAGACCCTTTACTCAGTACTTTGTTGAAGCATCTTGGGCAGGGATTACAGCCTCAAGTCTTTTTGGGTATGACGCTACAAGCTTGGCACACCTGTATTTGGGGAGTTTCACCCATTCTTCACTGCAGATCCTCTCAAGCTCTGTCAGGTTGGATGGGGAGCGTCGCTGCACAGCTATTTTCAGGTCTCTCTAGAGATGTTTGATTGGGTTCAAGTCCGGGCTCTGGCTGGGCCACTCAAGGACATTCAGAGACTTGTCCCGAAGCGACTCATGCATTGTCTTGGCTGTGTGCTTAGGGTCGTTGTCCTGTTGGAAGGTGAATCTTCACCCCAGTCTGAGGTCCTGAGCGCTCTGGAGCAGGTTTTCTTGACGGATCTCTCTGTACTTTGCTCCATTTATCTTTTCCTCGATCCTTACTAGTCTCCCAGTCCCTGCCGCTGAAAAACATCCCCTCAGCATGATGCTGCCACCACCATGCTTCACCGTAGAGATGTTCCAGGTTTCCTTTAGACGTGACGCTTGGCAAGGTCTGAGATTCCTTAGCTGCCTTTTGGCAAACTCCAAACGGGCTGTCAGGTGCCTTTTACTGAGGAGTGGCTTCCGTCTGGCCACTCTACCATAAAGGCCTGATTGGTGGAGTGCTGCAAAGATGGTTGTCCTTCTGGAAGTTTCTCCCATCTCCACAGAGGAACTCTAGAGCTCTGTCAGAGTGACCATCAGGTTCTTGGTCACTTCCCTGACCAAGGCCCTTCTCCCCCGATTGCTCAGTTTGGCCGGGCAGCCTGCTCTAGGTCTAGATCTGTGCCGACACAATCCTGTCTCGGAGCTCTACGGACAATTCCTTCGACCTCATGGCTTGGTTTTTGCTCTGACATGCACTGTCAACTGTGGGACATAATAATAATAATAATAATAATAATAACTATATAGACAGGTGTGTGCCTTTCCAAATCATATCTAATCAATTTAATTTATCACAGGTGGACTGCAATCAAGTTGTAGAAACATCTCAAGGATGATCAATGGAAACAGGATGCACCTGAGCTCAATTTCGAGTTTCATAGCAAAGGGTCTGAATATTTATGTAAATATGGTATTTCAGTTTTTTATTATTAATGAATTTGCAAAAATGTCTAAAAACCTGATTTTGCTTTGTCGTTATGGTGTATTCTGTGTAGATTGGTGATTTAAAAAATCATTTAATCCATTTTAGAATAAGGCTGTAACGTAACAAAATGTGGAAAAAGTCAAGGGGTCTGAATACGTTCCGAAGGCACTGTATATATATCCTGCATATTTTCTCATCAGGCCACAGAGGAACCTCCGGTCTAGCTGAAGGTTCCCTCCAAACTGTTCTTCAATCCGTTACTCTGCAGTCTGTGGAGTGCAGTCTGGAAGTAACTGCTGGTGGGGGACCATCGATGGAGGATGCTGTTCTTGCTCTCCATCGTCTTGAGTTTTCTGGAATCAGAAAGATTCTAAATACTTTGACCAGGGAGATCAATTATATTCATTGATATAACAATTGCACTGTTAAAAACCTAACTGAGGAAGTACCTATCGATCTGCATAAGCTGACCAACAGCTGTTCCATCTCCTCTTTCCTGCTGTGCCCTGAAAATAAAAAATGGATTAGAGATGCATGCCAAAGAATAACAACTTTGTTTAATCATTTGAAATGAATTACATACATTGCAATTGTATGTTGCTGGAGCATTGCAACATATTGCTCCTCCCAGCGCGGAGCAGGTTTTTGCCTCTCAAGGGTCACACTGACATTCCTGCCACAATCCCTAATGGTTTCCAGTGTTGTTCCTAAAACATAACAACATTGATAGATGTAACAACAAATTCTAATCAATACTGAAATTCTATGCTTAGAGAATTGATACAATGGTCTACCTGTTAGAGACTGTGACATTTCTGCCATTCCCTTTCTGCCTCTTTTGCAACTTCTGTTGCTCGGGAAAGCCCCTGTATCAGAGTCGACTAAAACAAAAAAAAATTGAAATGTTCGGAACATCTCTAGAGTCAACCAGCATCAAGTAAATTAATAACGATTCTAAATGTACTAACGTTGCCTCTGGCGCATCTTTTTCCCATGGTGGAGAAGGGCATCAGTCAGGAGGTCAATACGATGGGACGGCGTCATCTCTTTGGTGACCTTCCCAAGGCGCCTCAGATACGTCCACAGTCTCTCCATCTGCTTCCCATCTGCCAGTCCAGCACCTTCCACATATCTTGTGTTGAATTTCATCTAGAAATATAAAATAATGTCATTCCATAGTGAAAGGGTTATTTGTTTAAACCTTATAAAATATGAATAAATAACTACTGACAATATTAATGATCATATTCAAATACCTGACATGGCAAGTCATGTCCGTAAGCATGGAAAACTGGCACAATAGATTTGGTCCCATGCTTCAATTCAGGAAAGTTTCTTTAAAAAGTTATGGACAAAATGTAAAAACAAAAATTGGGTGGAAACTGCTATTCAAATGTTAACGTAAATGAGATCTTGAATAAAAAAGGTGAATTACTTGCATGTGGTTGCATCTTGCATGCAATGTCCTCCATGAAGATGAGATTGATGTTCTTGTCTCTCATCCCCTCCTCTCGCAGCAGGTACACTGCATTTGACAAACTACAGAGGAGATACATCGTTATTTGCGTACTAAATTAACCAAACATTGAAAAAAATACTGACAAAAACAACAACTCATTATCACTGCAGCCTACCTTTCACCCTTTTTCATGTCCAATAAGTGAAGCGTTTGCTCATGCTTGCAGGAAACCCCCAACACGCCTGTTTCGTCCAATTTCGTTGTTTTGGGTTTGGACCCGATGGTGTTGCCCACTTGAAATCCCTGGCAACCCTACCATTTTTTAAAATATCAAGTACAGTACAGGTATAACGTACTGAGCTGTTGCCTGAAGCAGATCACACAAAGTGGTGCCATGTTCAGTGCCTAAATGGATGTTGCATGAGACAACCAATAATATTACATTCAACATTCACAATACCAACATACCGTCTCCAACGTTAAGACCACTGAGTCAAACAGATGAAGTGGAGGGACAACTGCATCATTTAAATATGAATTAGTGGCGAGGTTTGATATGAGTTCAAATAATTCTAGATTTTGTTCACGTTGTGCATAAGGTAACAATGGAAGTTATCCTTAAAATGCAGTGCATATTACATTCAGGCATAATGTTATCACTTTACCCGTTGGTGATAATATCACCTGAATCGATCCACCTGAATCGATCCACATGAGCTTGGTTTGCAAAGTACTTTTCCTCATGATTTGGTGGCTCATAACTTGATCCAGAATACTTTTTCCTAGGCAAACCAAAAGCCCATCTGCTGCTACCTCCACTGTTCCATTGTTCTGTTAAGAGATGTAAAATATACTTGGATACAACTTAGTTTTTGGACCCCAGGAAGAGTATCTGCTGCTTTGTAACAGATCATGGGGATCCCAATAAACAAATAAAATGAAAGACGTCTGCTAGTCTGTACAGTTGTTTGACAAAAATGTAACAGATGTTTCTAATATATAATTTCTGTTTATAAAAGAGGGACATATTAAGTTCCGACATTGCATGTCGACCACATTCACCTGAATGGTGTGATTTCCACCTTTTAATGGGGTGATTGTAGTCTAATCGGGTGGGATAAGGGACCACTCAGCGTCACAGATGACAGTAGGTCTACTAGCCTGTGTTAGAATTCCTGGTGACTCTGAGGTCTGTTTTTCATTGTGGTTGATCTGGTGCTGGATGTGTGGCTGATTGTGGCTTTATACCAGAAAGAGAATTATGTTTTGTTCCTGCTGCATGCTACAGTTTGTTTACTCCACATCAGCAGCTGTTGCAGGTTGGCAGGAATGTCTGGGTGTGTCGAAAATAATGACTGTTCTATATTGCTCTTTGATAGCCTTTATTATATTGAGAGACGTGCAGGAACATTTTATTGTGGTGTTCGATGAATAGAAAACTGTTGATGATCAACACTACATTTGTAACCTTCACAGTTCTATCCACAAGAGGACGTCACAGCTCCTGAATTGATATATCACTGAGCAATGCAATTATGTTTCAATGCACTCTTGGGCAGACTTCATTTTCATATCAAGCAAAACACAGATATAAAAAAACAATAGGATGTCAATACTTTGATCCAGACATCTCTAATACATCTCATACAGATAATTAATATTACAAATCCTATATACCTTCAATACAGTTTTAAAAAGTAATTGCTACCTTATCAAAGCTTTGTCCAGTCTTTTCATATGAACTAGTCTATAACCATGTAAGATCTTGATTTGTAAAAATCTTATGGATATTAGATCTATCAGTGAAATTATAGAATATAAAATGTCCTTGAGACAGTTGAGATCACTGGCTCTACCTATAAAGAGTCAAAAGTATGACAATAGTTCATATTTCATCAGTCCAAATTACATATAGTTTACATTTCAGAATCATGAGCTTAGATCTCTCTGAAACATGTTTTTCAGACCAGGCCTTGAATTCCAGCCCTGTTTCTTGGCTAACATGTAGATGCATCCAAAGAGATCAGGGAACATCTTCATCAGGTCAACAGATTCTAAATCCTCAGCGCTGCAGAAGGAGAAACAAACACTCAGCCACCTTCAATGGTAAGAGACTGAAAACATTGAGTACTGGGAAAAACATGAGTCTTACTTACTAGTGCTCATGTAGGTTGCGTATGAAGCATAGTAACCCCAACATGTTCTCAGGATAGGGCTTTTTGCCATCCATCTTATTCATCAAATCAGACAGCAGCTGTCAACATAAAACAATATCTGTAAATTGTGTAGTCTCTCTGTATGTGAGCCTTCTACAAGCTCAGCCAGGGGATAGGGTACTACCACTCTATTGCGTTAGTGTATACATGTTTTAATATACATGTACAGGTATGTATATTAAAATAAATGACATCTGGTTCACCTTAGATCTCCACTGACAGAAGTTTACTCAAACTGTGCATAATGTTGTAAAGGAGGACTTGCTCCAGCCATCTTTGTCTTTCGTATGATTACATACAGTATTGTAACAATTAACAGCAACTGTCGTACATCAGCATTTAGTTTCTCACTAGACAGCAGCTCCACTAGTTTAGGAATTATGGTAAGTGATACCTTGTTGGGTATTTCTGTCACGGTGCATACTACTAAATGCAAGTTTCTTACTACTGTTGACTTCAGGATTCCCTGAGGAATTCTAGACAGACGTGAGCGTGCATCTTCAAGATAGATATCTAGTTTATTAGAGCCCCTCAGCCATTTAATGCTTGTCTGGCGGTATTCCGCATTGTCAAAACACAAATCAATCATAGTAAATGCTTTTTGAGGGTTCTCCTCTAGTAGGTGTTTGTCGAAGCAGTCGAAAATCTCAGTTGGGGATTTCTGCTGTAGTATACGGAGTTGAAAATCTACAAAAGGTTGAATTTTGGAAAACAAAATATTGTTTGGTGCCAAGTGATGAATTCTTTTGACTAGATTTGTATGAATATGCTCATCATTAGGCTGTATAAGAGGTCTTATTTGCACAAGAGCACCAGCATGAATCAGTATCCTCACAATATCCTCTCTATCATCTTTCACTGCAATGTCAAGTGGTGTAAGGCCAAATGGTCCTATAGCATTTAGTTTGGCTTTTGCTACGATCAGTCCCCTCACTGTATTGACAGGTGCTTTGGACATTAAGGCATAATCCAGAGGAGTCCAAAGATTGTATGATGGTTGATTGGGGTTAGCACCCTCTTGTAGAAGGTATGTACATATTTCTTCATTTGCAGATGCAACAGCAGCAATTAAAAGGGATTACGATATCTTTCCACTCAGCACAATGGTACAATCCATTTATGGCCTTGTCTCTAATCTGTTTCTTCAGCTTCTTCAGATTCCCATCAATAATGTTCTGTATTAAGGGATTTGTTGGCTGGGGTGGAGCTGGGTTCAGCAGTGTTGCCTGCCATAACTACTCATCAGCCATGAATTATATCAACGTAGAGATATCTGCAGAAGAAAATCTGAACTGTAAAGGTTACATTTACATTACATTTTAGTCATTTAGCAGACGCTCTTATCCAGAGCGACTTACAGGAGCAATTGAATCAAATCTAACTGTATGAGGAATTCTCAAACAATTATATTTCTGAATACGTTGTTAGAACAATACTAAAATGTAAATCCAAGGCAGAGTTTATAAGAAAAATTCAATGCTAAAATATAGCTTATTATTTTACCTTATGCTAGCTATTACTGCCATCACAGCAGCTTAGGTCAGGTGCATACCAAATGACTATAGTCTCTTCCAAAGGTGGCATGGTTTAATAATTAAACCGGTTATTACTGCAGTTTATGGCATTACAGTTGTCACCAGAACATCAACGCTCACAACATGTACTTTTCCCAGATACAGTTTAAGATTCTGATACACAAATATACTATATTTTTAGTAAAGTTGCTGATACGTGATTGTGTAAAATGTAGGATTTGTTATATTTATCCACTTAACTTGCCTGGTAATCAAGAAGTTGTAAAACAGGTTACAGTCACAACAATGACATCTCCTGAAATGTAAAAACATGCGTTAATGTATAATATTGCATGTCAATCTTCTTTCCAATAAAGGCATACAATTTCATTAATAAGGCTATTCTAGTCACTTACCTCGCTCTCTCACTGTCACTGCTATAATCTATAACTTGGAATGAGCAACATTTACTGCAATTTACCCCAAAGATCAACCTTTCATTTCTCTTTAAGCACCTCTAAAAGTACTTCATGGTAAAAAAACAACAACTCCTCTTTCAAGCTATAGCTCAGTGTCCACTCCTGATGAGGAACAGACATCAACTAACAGTTCGTCCTGAAACCCAACCCCTGGTATGGCTGGTAACTTCAGCACTCTAGCCAACACCTACAGTCGCTGTCATGTCAACTATCACACAGCGGAGTTGGCTAACCCACTAACATCAGCGACAGCCTAACCCCAAATACATTTCCCTTCCATATTGTCACAAGGTGAGCAGAAGGTGAACACAGAAGAACTACTGCAGCAGGAACTTGAGTGCCATGCTGAGCCACACATCCATCACATTGTCCATCTCAGACTAATAAAGGCTGGAACCGATAGAGTAGCTTCCTTTTCATAAGATCTAGCAGGCTTGGTGGAAAGCAGAGTTTAGATATGGACCACCTCAGCAGCCAGGAGATGGCACTAAAGAACAGGGCTGTGATCGTACATTCTATTATGGCTTGAATACGTCTGATTATACAACGGGTGGGTCTAATCCGGAATGCTTGTTGGTTAAAACCGCATTCCAGTCTGTGTTTATTCCACAAGTTACCACCGGCTAAATCTATGATGTCAAAATGCCTATTTACTCTGTTCCATCTGACTGCGCAATCCACTGTCTCATCATCCCAGCCAAGCAATTTATAAACTTGATCTCCACTATAAAAAGCATTTAGACATTATTTCACATTTCTTTTAGACTAACATTTAGTTTTCAACAGCGGAGATTTGCATAAACATTGCTGTCTGTCTCTCCAACATTTGCAACATTGTTTCAATATTCAAATTCGATCTCCAGCTGTCGCATAGTAACGAACGTGTGGGAAATTGGGATGAGACAGACGGGCAGGCAGTTTTTCTCAGCGAGTCGAAAAAATTAATCAGCATAATCTTTATGGAAATATACAAAAATATAAATAGAAAACAGGTAAAACGAAGTGCAGCTAGTTTGCAGTCTTTCCAGCTTCAGTTTGAAGTTATTGTGTTAGCTGTGTTGTTGCCTAGCTCCTCTGAACAACAGTGTCCTGATAAGAGAACACATTTTCTATGCCAGGTGAAATCGTGCCTCATTAGCTCATTGTTATGGATGTATCCAAATAAATGTCACTAGAAAACAGCTTAAACAAATGCAAATGCAGCTACTGTTGTTATTCTGGCTGCACTGTTTGACATGACTAAATTAGCCATAGTTGGCTAGCTTGCAAGCAAGGTTTAAGAACGTTGCCAGCCAGTATGGCAATATAACATTTAGAACGAACGACTGGGTCACGTCCAAAGATACAGAACCGATAGAACTAACGACCTTGGGTAGCAACCCTAGATTCGTGTCAGGACTATATCTTGTGGAAGGATTAAATGAATAAATTCATTAAATTACCTTAATGAAAATATTGTCAAAGTCGCGTCAATTCAAATCTGGTATCAGGAACAAAAGAGGTCAACACGACTTCTAAGGTATACTAGTTATTTTAATTAATGCAAAAACCTTCAATGGTAAATATGATGTTTCGTATATACGGGCTCTCTGTGATGCCTCGCAGGACACTCCAGAGAACTAACTCATTGCTCTAGAAACAATACCCAAATACTCTGACAGAGGAAGTTTCCCACTTCTCTGCTGGCCAATTAGAGTAAAGACTTGAGCGTGGTTTACACTATCTCAGCCAATCCGTTGATGCAGTGGTTGCTCTCATCTCCTCGGCGCCATTTGTTACACACTTAATCCAGGCACAAGATTATCATAACAACCTGTCATAGTGAGAAGAGCCAGCTCCCTTAGACATCATTCCCATGTCAAAGGAAGACTCATAAATCACAATGAACTATTATAGTCTAGCATTTGAAGACACAATCCTTATCTTCTCTTCACATCAATCACAGCCTTGCCAGGTGTCACAGCCTACATTAGCCCAGTCAAGAATGCATTATTTCTAAGTTAGTCATCCCATCAGTTTAGGAGAATAATAAATCCCTAATAGTCCCCCTTTTCACACCACATAAGGTGTGATTCAAAAATAAGAAAACACAGATCTTCATTCATTATAATACAAAACAAACAAAAAATCACACTTTTATTAACATTACATTTTACATTTTAGTCATTTAGCAGACGCTCTTAACCAGAGCGACTTACAGGAGCAATTAGGGTTAAGTGCCTTGCTCAAGGGCACATTAACGTCATTTAGCAGACGCTCTTAGCCAGAGCGACTCACAAATTGGTGCGTTCACCCTATAGCCAGTGGGATAACCACTTTACAATTTGGGGGGGGGGGGGGGTTAGAAGGAATACTTTAGCCTATCCCAGGTATTCCTTAAAGAGGTGGGGTTTCAAATGTCTCCGGAAGGTGGTGAGTGACTCCGCTGTCCTGGCGTCGTGAGGGAGCTTGTTCCACCATTGGGGTGCCAGAGCAGCGAACAGTTTTGACTGGGCTGAGGGGGAGCTGTGCTTCCGCAGAGGAAGGGGAGCCAGCAGGCCAGAGGTGGATGAACGCAATGTCCTCGTTTGGGTGTAGGGACTGATCAGAGCCTGAAGGTACAGGGGTGCCGTTCCCCTCACTGCTCCAAAGGCAAGCACCATGGTCTTGTAGCGGATGCGAGCTTCAATTGGAAGCCAGTGGAGTGTGCGGAGGAGGGGGGTGACGTGAGAGAACTTGGGAAGGTTGAACACCAGACGGGCTGCGGCATTCTGGATGAGTTGTAGGGGTTTAATGGCACAGGCAGGGAGCCCAGCCAACAGCGAGTTGCAGTAGTCCAGACGGGAGATGACAAGTGCCTGGACCAGGACCTGGCCATAATGTTACTAAAAATGCAAACCCTCAGTTCATCTACACCCCACTTGCAAATTGTTACCAGTCACCAAGGAACTTCAAACCATCACATAAGAAAAGACAAACATTCACATGGTTAACTTGATTAATAAAGCATAAAACACAGGATTAATAGAACACAAAACATAAGACTATTAAAACATAAAACACAAACAGAGAAGTATATTTTGGCCCCCTTTAGACACCCTCTAGTGTCACTCCACCAAGCCTGGTAGGTCATATCCTCCATTCCTAGGTTGGAGTCCAGGATTGGGCCTTATCTCACCATCTGTGGGAAATCACCTTCTCCATCTCCTTTCTCACCAAACCTCAGACACAGGAAATAAGACAACATCCACAAAGAACAAGTATACCCATATAAGCTATAACTTCACCCAGAATAGTTACAACAATAGTTTTCCATTTATCAAATATGTTATCAAACCAACCGTTTATGGAGCTATCAATATCAGAGTTCTCAGCCAGTTTGTTCGTCAGTGTAGTTACTCCCCTGAAGCTCTTTTGTCACTGACCCGTCCGGTGCTATATTGTTTGAGGATGAAAATACAGCACATAGATCCAAACAGAACACAAACTCCGCCCCTCTCAGCCAAAAGCATATCTAACGCTATTCTATTCTGCTTTGTCATTAAGATAGTTGCCGCTGTCTGCTCATCTAATCCCTGTATTGCATCACAAGTGTGGTTTATAAATCTTTGCTGGTTATAGTAAATATAATTTATCCAATCTAAGTTTTTATTAATTGTTGACCAACAAAAATACTTGATTCAAACTCAACTGCGGTCTGATTCCTAGCTTTGAATTGTTCTGGAACCTCTCGAGGTACTCCTATCCCATCACAGGATCCTTTCATCAAAGGATCCCAGGAGGAGGTC